AACCCTGAACCCTAAACCCTAACAGAAGTCTCTCCTGCAGTGCGAGAGGCAGAGTCCCTTTCTTGACCTTCCCGCCATCATCGCGAAAGGTGGTCCTGGTCCAGGGCTTCGGGCTCCTTTAAGGGGTTTAGGGTTTGGTTTAGGGCTTAGGGCCTTGGGTCTAGGGTTTTTGGTTTAGGGTTTAGGGTTTAGGGTTTAGGGATTAGGGTTTAGGGTTTAGGGTAGGATTCGTCAGGGTTCCCGTAAGGGTTCCCGTGAAGGGTTCCTTTAAGGGTTCGCCAGGGTTCCCGTAAGGGTTTTCGTAAGGGGGTTCCTTGAAGGATTCTGTTCTACCAGGAGACAGTACAAGGGCTTCGTTGGAGGGTCGGGGGGAACTAAGTTAATAAGTAGGATAGTACGTTTACTTAAGGTTACTATCTATCAGACCAATATGGGTAGTTCTCTGAATTAAGGTCCCGATTTAGGCCCCCAAAATAGTACGGCACCCTGCCAAAAGGATCCGTAAAAGGACCCTAATTCAGAGAACTACCTACGTGGTTCTCATCAGGATTCCAACACGGGGGAGTGCGTAGTTTGTCAAACCCAGATGTGACCACAAGTAGAAGTCGAATCGTACTCTGCGGTCTTTCCAAGCACAGCATGGAATCTCCGTGGTCAGCCCCACTTAGCAAGTAATGGTATAAGTACCTTCATTGTTATGGTTATAGTACATACAACTTCAGTGAGGTTTTTGAACATACGGACTTTTAACTCATTGCCCTTAACACTAAAGCGTTTAAACCCTCAACCCTGAACCCTAAACCGTTTAAACCCTAAACCCCCAAACTCCCAAACCCCAAAACCCTCAACCCTGAACCCTAATTACCTAAACAGATATGTTATGCTGCCTCCGTTGGCTTCAGGGCAGGGGCCGGCAAACGCATTTCAAACAAGCCGACAGCTACTCCCCCCCACCACCCTGAGCCCTCGATTAGCGGTTTAGGGATTAGGGTCTCGGGTTTAGGGTTTAGGGTTTCGGGTTTAGGGGTTTAGGGTTGACGCACCCCATCCGCCCCTCCACCCCACCGCCACTCCACCACCCCTTCACCCTTCGTCACCCTTCGTCACCCTTCGTCACCCTCCTCCACTGCCCCTCCACGCCCTCCACGTCTCTACTCTCCACGCCTCCGCTTCTGTTGGAAGGTCACCATGTTTTATGTGCTCGGGGAGAAGCTGAGGTGCTGAAACACTGATTGTCAGCTTGAGGGCAGCAGGTGGAACAAACCCTAAACCCTGAACCCTATGAGAAGGGACATGATTTGAAGCATCTGCCCTATCAAGCACAAGGCGGTGGACACAACGCCTTAAGAGTTTGGAAGTGTGAGGTTTCGGGCTCGTGCAACTTGAGGGTAGCTTGCGAATAATAGCAAAACCTGAGACAACCAACCGCAACTCCACGGACGAGAAGCAGCACAAGAGCGAAACCTCTACCCACAAACTTGGAGGACAGAAAGGAGGGGTGGAGGTGGAGGGCTAGTGGAGGGCTGGTGTCCAACTTACATGGGCACCATTCTGAGGCCGTTAGGAGGAAAACCCTAAACCCTAAACCCTAAACTCTTAAAGCCGCCTTTTTGGATGTGACGGCGCCCTCTGGAAAGGACAACCTGCAACATCCCTAAACCCTAAACCCTAAACCCTAAACCCAGGAGACCCCACGGAAACCCTCCAGCGAATGCTCAACGACGCCTTTGACACGCCTTTACAATCCTATCATCTGATTGGGGCATCCATACAAACCGAAAGATCCTGAACAATAGACCTTGGAAGCTCATTCCTGAACCCTGAACCCTAAACCCTGAAACCCTGAAACCCTACACCCTAAACTGTAGACCGACAACCCCCTAGAGAAAAACCCGAAATGCTCAATCCGACAAGTAGCTTCTTCACCATGGCTGGCAGGGGTTTCGAAGCGTTTACAGCTCGAGCCGACTTCGAAATCGCTCCGGGGACAGGGCATACCCTAAACCATAAACCGATAGGCTGAACCCTAAACCCTAAACCCTGATGCTGAACCCTAAACCCCTAAAGCCTGAACCCTTGAAGCAGCCTTGTAGATCCCTTTCAAGGAACCCTCGTAGTACCCTAAACCCTAAACCCCTAGGCACTAAACCCGAAACCCAAAACCCAAAACCCCCAAACCCTAAACCCTAAACCCAAAATGGTTTAGGGCTTTGGGTTACGGTTAAGGGCTTAGCTGCAAGGCATCGGAATTCGCGCTCAGGGTAGTCCTATTGTTGATGATATAAATCTTGCATTACCTTAAGGGCCCTAAACTATGGGAATTATGGTATATAGCTTATTATGGGTAATGCAGGGTTTATATCATCAACCGTATTTCACCAGCAGAGACGAGTGCAGGTATATTACGGTCTTAAATACTTGCTCACAAGGCTCTGTAGGAGCGTGTCTGCAATGCAAGAACCATGTAGCCTGTTTAAACCCTATGACGAAGTGTATGGGTTTCGAGTTGACTTTCTGAAATTTTGAAAAAAGGCTTTTAGGATATGCATTCTGGGGTTTAGGGCTTATTCTTGTGGCAATGGGATCTCTGGACAGAAGCTGTAATGATACACCAAAACCTAAACACTCCTGTGGAGTAGGGCGTGGGATGTAATATAGGGGTCTACGTAATTACATTGTTTTGGAGGGGGGGTCCTTATGATAATTATGTATGACATAGCCCAAAACCACATTCTAAGTATAGAGGCCCCTAGACCCCTAAACCCTCAACCGTGGCCTACATTAGAACGCATTGTCCGCGTGCTAGGTTTGCCGTTTAGGGATGACATCCACTTCCTACCTACTTACCAAGTCTCCCGACCTTCCAAGTAAGCCCCAAACTAAACCCTACAAGGCCTAAGCTCTAAACCCTGAACTCTAAAGTCTCAAGTCCAAACCCTAAGCCCTGAACTCTAAACCCTCAACCCCTAAACCCTAAACCCAAAACCCAAAACCCTAACCGACTAAACCCTGAGCCCTGAACTCTAAACCCTAAACCTTGAAAGCCCCAGAATCCAAAGCTTCCGAGATGCCCTCGTCAGAGAAGATCCAGGAGAGCTCCGGCATGGGTCTGACATGCACCTTGCTCTGCTCGCTAATGCTTCAAGGACCCTCGCATATAACAACATATGTAAAACTATGTGTATCTATACATACATACACCTTATCCTACCAGAATTGTTTTGCAAACACCCTATTTGTTTTTGGTAGGTTAAGGTGTGTGTGTGTATACTTACATACATACATACATACATACATACATACATACATACGTACATACATACGTACATACATACATGCATACATACATAACGATACTGTACTACGCTGTACACTCTATATATATATATATATGTATAGAAACATATACATATACACCTGAACCTACCAGAACATTTTTGCAGAAATCCTTGAGTTCCATACTGAAACCTGCAAAAATAGGTGTTCGGTAGGTCAAAGTGTGTATATATATATATATGCTCACCCC